GGAGATTCTGGAATGTATGAAATGGGAAATTGAACTGAACACATTCAAGCGTTTATCCCCCTCCGTTTCCTCATGGCAGAAGTGGTGTGACCAACCGCTCCAAGCTCTGCATTGGGCTGTATTTCTCTACTGCACTTGGCTGTACCTTGAGCTAAGACAACCCCTCCCTCCTTGAGCTTGTTTCTGTCAAGAGTATCACAGTAGCGGGAAGAGAAGCTAAGGTTCACACAGGGATTGTCAACGTTCAGGCTATGTGCCTAGTAGAAGTCTGGTGGTAGGTGATCTTCAGTAGAACCGATTTCAGGCTTCTGCCGTGTGTGCATTCAATGGTGCCAAATATCTTCTATCCCCAGGGTCCACAGAGATGAATAAGACTCCTCAGGAAGCTTTCCACACTCAATGAACCATGTCTGTTGTATAAATGAAGCCTAACTATTTGACCTGGTGTAAGTCTTAGTCTGTGTTGCTATAAAAAATAACTTAGACTGCATAAAGAACAAAAAGTATTTTCTCAGAGTTTGGAGGCTCAGGAGCAAACATTCCAAGCTCTAGCAGACTACAGCAACTCTTACAAAGAAAATATTTAATTGAGCATGTCTAGCTTACGGTTTCAGAGGTTAAGTCCACTCATGATCAATGATGGAGAGAGTCAGCAGGCAGGCAGACACGGTGCTGGAGCTGAGAGTCCCATATCTTGACTCAGAGGCAGCAGGAAGTTGACTGACTGTCACACTAAGTGAAGCGTGGAAAAAAAGACCCCAAAGCCTGCCCCTACAGTGACACTTCCAACAGAAGGTATGGCCCAGATTAAAGGTGTGCCCTCCAGCCTCAAGGTCTGGATTAAAGGTGTGTGTTATCCATCCCCCCCCCCCCCCCCCCCCGCCCCTAATAAGATCATACTACTTCCTCTAACAAGGCCACACTTCCTAATAGTGCCACTCCCTGTGAGTTTATGGGGGCTAAATACATTCAAACTACCACAAAACTCATTTCTGTACAAACTGGTTGAAAACTATAATTGAAAACAAAAAGGAGTTTGAAAATTGGATGGTAAGACCCTATTGCTGAAGACACTTTGGCTGCAGGACATAGAGAAATCAATTTGGAATAAGTGAAAATGCTCTCCCTGATAACTTTCACAGTGCCAGAAGAGGTTATGCAGGACACTGTGGAGAAAAGCAATCACTGGTTATACCCAGCACGGAATCCTTCATGCTACAATACCAATCTGCCAGATAACACAACAGTGGCATAGTTGTTATGGGGGTAACATACCACTTTCCAATTGGATTTAAACCCTCTCCACGAGAGGGAACTCATGCCTCATACTATAAACCTAATCAAAAATCCACAGCAGGGAGAGGTCTTAAGAAAATCTACAATTGTTGTTTTGCTAACTTGTCAAACTACCTACTAAATCTCATATTTTCTCCTTCCTTCCTTCTTCTTTTCCTTTCTCTCCCTCTCTCTCTGTCTCTTTCTTTTTTCTTTTTTCCTCTCTCTCCCTTCCTCATTTCCTCCCTCCCTTCCTTTTTTTTAATTCTCTCATACAATATATCCCGACTACAGTTTCCCCTCCCTCCACTCCTCCCAGCCCCTCCTTCCCTTTCCCCCAGATGTACTTTTCTGTTTTCCTTCAGAAAAGAGCCGGCCTCCCTGGAAAAGCAACCAAATACAGCATAACAAGATACAATAAGTCTCATATCAGGGCTGATTGAGGCAACTCAGTTATCAGGGCTGATTGAGGCAACTCAGTAGGTGAAAAGGGTCTCAAGAGTGGCAAAGGAGTCAGAGACATCCCCACTCACACTGTTAGGCTAAATATTTTCATATCTATGTGCATGGATCTGTTCTGGTTTCCACCTTAGGTGAAGGTAATTAGTTTGTTGTTGGTAGTTGTCAATGAAGAGACCCATAAATGGCTAAAATGGTAAGAATAAGAAACAGTTGAATTCTCACGCCTGGAATGGAACATTGTTAGGAGCAATTAGGAAACATTGATGGAGAGGGAGCAGAAAGAGAGTCAAAGCTGGAGGAACGGGTAGAAGGCTGTAAAACAGATGGAGGTAAGTGAGCAAATGAATCACTTGGTGCAATTTTAAGTTTTTAAAACTTTTGACGTTTTTGACATTGCAAACCATCATATGGGTCCCACAGGCTCTGTCCTCACTTTTGCTGATTTAGTGTATTGCCACCAGTGAACTGCTCTTGGTCATCTGGGATTTCTGAACTGTGAAAGAAAACTAACAGGGATGACGTCACCTTGCAGAGGTCATGATGAAGAGTTATGTGATTTTGATATCATATGGGAGAAAGACGTTGCCTACTTAAAAAAATTTCATTTTGCGTTTTTATAGCATTGTAAATGTTCTTTATATTTAATAGTTCTCATGTTTATCCCAGCAACCAATATTTTCCCACACCAATTTATTATTCCATCACAACTCATTTCTGATGCAGTTAAGTGGCTTGATTTAGGGTTACCCAGGAAGTGTTTGCACCAAGATATGAACACAGTTCTCCTTGGCTTCAAAGCTTACAGCGTTAGAGGAGAACTGTCTTAGAAATGGAAATGACTAGTCTTTATCTCTGATCCATAGAAATAATGAATAAAAAGTGATTCTGTGAGGACAGACTATAATCCTACAGTTGGTTGTTCTCAACTAGAGATCTTTGAGATCTCTCTCTCTCTCTCTCTCTCTCTCTCTCTCTCTCTCTCTCTCTCTGGCACACACACGTGAGCCCCATCCCAGATGGATAAGGAAGGATGATTAAGGAACCTTCTTTACCTGGGAATCAAGGCCCCAGGGCTATTGCAGCTTTAGATGGAGGGAGCCTCCTACACTTTGTCAGAGAAAGGGGATGCTGGCTGGCAGACTCTAGGCCTGCTGGGGACAGTCATGTGTGGACCTGGAGTGTGTGATTGGGAGGTGGAAGGCCTTTAAGACAACATTTGTTCTTTGCAAGTGTTTTGTTATTCTTAGGAGTGCTTTTTACTCCTCTCCCAGAAAACCACAGCCCTGAGTATGACTCTTGAATGATGCCTAAAACTCATTTGGCAATGAATTAAGCAGTCTGCTGTTAGATATCCAATATAAAACAGCCACACACACACACACAAAAAAAAAAAACCCTCACAGCTGTGTGAGGAAACTGATCTCTAAATGTGGTCTCTTCTCCAAAGAGAAAGAAAAAAGAGCCATCTCCCCAGAGCAGGGAAAATAGACATATTTTATTTTGGGCCAAGCTTTAATCCATCCAATACCTAATGTCACCAGAGCAGAAGCCAGGGCCACAGTAGCAGGAGCGCAATAGCTGGCTAACTTTCTTTTCCACAACTCCCTCTGCGTCTGCAGCTCCACCCTTTCCCACTCGGCCTGTGTTTACAGAGCCTTAGGCACAGTCATCCTGGTCAGATTAATGTAACCATGGTTGAAGGGATCAACAGCCCGTGTCTAGTTGCCTGGCCGGTAGCTGCTGACTGGAGAGGTCTCTGCTGCACTCTCTGTGGCCAGGGAGTGAGGACACCATGACACTGTTCAGCTTCATTAGGCATAGAGACATAAGATGCTGTTCGTGTCTGAAGAGAGCACATGGTCCCTTAGGCAGATTACAAAGTCTGGTACCTAAATGGGGACAGGCGGGGAGGTCACGTAGGGACTATGTTTTGAGGAGCATTTTCTCTTTGTGAAAAGAAACATCTTTTTTTTACAAAGAAGTTATGGATATAACTTCTCAGAAAAATCAGCGCAACTCAGGAACTTGGGCCTATGTCCCAGAAATAATAGAAATCTAGACTTTTTTTTTTGGTTATTAAAGGAAATCTCCAGAGTTTTCATGTTGGCAACTGATTTAAAGTAGGAATTTTAAATATGCTTCTGTGAATTAAAGACATGTATGCATTGGATTGAATATATGAAACTATTAGGCACATATAGGGAAGTACTTTGTAAACAAGGGTAGAGAGATAAGGACAGCAGACACAAAGCCATTTGGTGAGCACAGTGGTAAAGGCCAGAGTATGCTTATTAGGCAAAGTAGCCTGTGGCTGGACCACACCAGAATGGTTAGAAGGCAGTACGGTGAGGCAAGCTCCAAACGCAGAGACTGGGGGATCCATGGTTTGCGGGGTAGCCTGAGCTTCTGTAGGCTGAAGCTTGTGAGTTAGCCTGGTACCAGACTAGAAGAATACGCCATAACGATTTCATGGCACATTCTGAAGCCAATAGGGTTTGTAAAGTGCATTTGAGCAGGGTTTTCTGCACCGTCAGACAGGAACTTAGTCAGACTTTGCTGATGGAAAGGGGGCAAACACAGAGCAATCCCGGTGCTGTTTGGAGGCTCCTCAGTAGTTTGAAGGAGAGAGGGAAAACACTCTAATCACAGCAATGACAGTAGATGGAGTTTGACTGATACTTAGCCCCTATGAGACTTGCTAGGAGAGGCGATGATGGGGGAAGACAGTCCAGAAGGACTGCTAGCTTTCTGATAGGCTGTGCTGTTTGTGCTCCAAAGATGGAGCGCGAAGATGGAGACTTTAGGTTGTTGAGATGTAGTAATGGATGTTTAAGGGTTTTGTTTGGGACATAGATTGAGCAACACACTGCTTTTGGGGGGTGTTAGGAGAGCCTCAGGCAGAACACACAGATGGATCACTTCAGCTCTTCATGACAGGCTGGAACACGGGTGCACGTGAGAACTTGGAGAATTAGAACTAAGCTCTGGTGTAACCATGGGCTGGATGGGGGAGGTCAAAGCAGGGGTAAGGAAGGCAGAGCAGCCAGAGAGCTGAGCAGGGAAACCAGGAGGCAGGAGTGCCCTGGGATGCGATGACAGAGCATCTCAAGAAGGAGGAGATGATAGGAGAGCCAAATGCTGTTGGGAAGGCTAACACACAGAGGTCGACCTATACTTGCCTGTTGGATCTAGCAACAGGATAGTCTTAGTTAATGGCCGTTTATAAGTGGGGAGGGGGATGTGATGAAAGAATCCAGCTTGTGCTCTCTGTCTTCTCTACCCTGGGAGCAGCTCTCTTGCCTTGGCCCCTCACCCCTGAAAATGTATGCCTGTTCCAGGTTCATCTCCACCCGCTCCTTGGTCAGGAGCACCTCTCAGCTGCTGAGCCGTCCTCTGTCTGCAGTGGAGCTGAACCCACAGACACGGAAAGATGAGGCCCTCAGCAGCTTGGCAGTCCCTCGTCCTTTGACCTCACTCGTCCCTAGCCGCAGCTTCCAAACCAGTGTCATTTCCAGGGACATCGACACAGCCGCCAAGTTCATTGGGGCTGGGGCTGCTACTGTTGGGGTGGCTGGCTCTGGGGCTGGGATTGGAACTGTTTTTGGGAGCCTCATCATTGGTTATGCCAGGAACCCTTCTCTGAAGCAACAGCTCTTCTCCTACGCCATTCTGGGCTTTGCCCTCTCAGAGGCCATGGGGCTCTTTTGCCTAATGGTGGCCTTTCTCATCCTCTTCGCCATGTGACCCAGCTGTCTCCACTTCACCTCCTGTAGTTCTTTTGTGTCCCGTCTGCCCTGTATGTTCCTTTTCCTCTACCTCCCCAGGAAGTCTGGGGAAAGTGACTGGCTCAGGGTTTGACAGAGAGAAGACAAATAAATACTGTATTAATAAGAAAAAAAAAAAAAAGAATCCAGCTTGTAATTGGGAAAACTGAATGGGGTGAGAAAGCAGACATGGTCAGAGTCAGCTGCCTTAAGAAAGCAGTGTGGGAGTGAAGGACTCAGGTAACAGTGAAAGAGAAAGGGTTGGCCGTAATAAAGGAGCGATGTTGAAAGATGGGAGAGGATGGGGAAGATGAAGAAGAAATAAGAGGGTAAAACTGGAGGAGACAGAGTGGCCTGCAGCAGAGCGGCCAGACGGTCCTGTCAGGTGTCCCCTCTATAGTCTGCTCCCCATTGCTCCCCATCATCACTTTGTGCCGTTTCCTAAGCTCCTGTTCTTTGCCTTCTTTGCTCAGGACGTTTTGGAAGGCATCACTGGCAAATCCGTCTAGCTGAGGCAAGCTGCTTTCAGCCTTTGGTAACAGAAGACTATTGAGATATCTATATTTTTCTCAGAGTCACAACGTGATGGCAGCCCTGGCCTGAGACCACTTATCACTCACAGTGGTAGCAATGCATGTGCTTCATGGCAGCCATTAGCAGTTCTGTTAAGGAAGCAGAAAGCAAAAGACTGTAAGACTTTGTTGAGAGTTGGCTCACCAGTTCCAATCACATTTTCATTTCTGACATCTGGTTCACATAGTTCAGTAGCTCTGCTTAAGGAAATTTTACACTAGCAGCTTTTAAAAAAAAAAACCATTAGAATGCTCAAATTCAATTGCACATCCTGCTAACCTAACTCAGGAGGGATGTGGGCATCTTCCTGAAGCTTTTTTTTTTTTTTATCAACAGTGTGGCACCCAAAGGTAGTTGAGGGGGTAACTCCCCATGATAAATTGTGATTAAAACAATAAATACACAGAGCAAAGAAAGGATCTTGAAAACTGAAAGAGAAAATCCACAAGTCACATATAAAGGAAAATCCATCGGACTAACAAATGACTCCTCAATGGAAAAAAAGGTGTGTGTGCACGCGTGTGTGCATGCAATGTGTGTTATTTAATGGCAATGTGGGTTCAATCTATTCCCTTGTGCGTGCTAGATAGACAAGTGCTCTACTAATCAGTCACCTTCCCAGTCTGTGGTTTTATAAGTCAGGATCTTAGACTTTCAATTTGTTGTATAGCCCGGGCTGTCCTTCCAGTCTTCCTTCCTCTTACCTCCCAAGTCCAGGTGCTGCGATTACAGGAGGGCATCATATCGCCCAGCTAGGAAAGTACTTACAGCTGCTGCCACCGCAGCAAAACAGCAGCTGCAGCAACAGCAGCAGCAATGGCAGCAGCGGCGGCAGCAGTAACACTCATTTGCCGAGTACATTGACTGAGACCCTGGGAAGCTGATTCTGAATGATGTTGCCTTATTTCCAGAAGAGCTTGTTGTGAGAATCCTGAGGTGGTGGGAGAATACAGCCCCCCAAACTTTGAGAGGAAAGTGGAATAAATAATCCAACATAAAAGTTTTATCAACCAGAGATGAATGTGCCTATCATTCCCATTCAAGTTCAATCACCAAGGCAGGAGGCCTGAATTCATCTTCTTCTTCTTCTTCTTCTTCTTCTTTTTTTTTTTTTTCAGAGCAAGGCTATGTCCAAGACCGCAACCCAGAGGCCATTGCCCAAACCAGGTTCATCTTCTTTTCTTTTCCCTAGTCTGCTCATGATCGAAGAAAAAGGTCACAAGGTCAGCTGAATTTTCACATCTCCTCTCCATTGCTTTTCTTCTTATTTATTTACCCTGTCAATGGTCTGGAAGCCACCCAAGATTCTTGTTTTAGGCTGGATGTGATACCAAGTAGCGTTTGAATGAACCCCTTAAATGACCTTGCCCAGTCTCATTTTGGGGGATCAGCTCACCTGTTTCTTTGGAGAACACAGCATGTATGTCTTCAAGTGCTTCTTGGCAGAGGACAGTAATGACTAGAACTTCAGAGTGACCCATTGGCTGGTGCCGGGGCTCTCATCCTTTATTAACAATTTACTACTGCAAGTTAATCTCAAATATACGTGGGGCCAGAACCAGTTGCAGGAGTAGGAACAGCCCGCTGTCACCCACATTTTACTGGAAATGTAGACCATGTCCCAGTTTGAGTGCTCAGAGCTTTGGACTTAATTGGGGTGTTGTGGTTATTTTCAAAGCTTTAACAGACAGTTGTCTGCTCTTGCATCCTTTTCTGATCAGTGTAGGGCTGTTGGTCTATGTCCTGTAAGTTTCATGAGTAAATCTTTCTACGTTCATCTCTCCACTTCATAATCTTTCTTTAAAGGCAGCTTTTTTTGGAGGTGACATCCGCATATGATGAACTCACCTTGAAAGTAGGACTTTATGAGATTCTGTGAATGTAAACACCCATTCAGACATGGAATATTCCATTATTCCAGAACACCCCTCCCCACCCCGTCCTTTTGCTCAGTCTCTCTATTTGGGGACACCACAAGGAAAATTTGGTTGTTCCTGGTTTTGCCCATCTAGCACTTTGTATAACTAGAAACATACACTATGCCCTCTTCTGCGTCAGCCCCCCCCCCCCCCGGCTTCTGCCAATCGTTCACTGTTGTCTTACCCTATCTCAGCATATTGAATCATATGTACACATAATTTGCATTTTGAACACTTTATCTGAAAATAACTCAGACTTACAGAAGAGAGGAAAGTATCATGAAAACACTTCTTACAGGACTTTGCTGGCTTCTCATTTGAACGAAGTATCCTCACGACAGGACGGAGGTAACAGGCTGGGCAAAGAACATCACAGTGGTACTGAGACCTGATGTCCAGGACGACTATCAGCTGTGTATATATGACCAGCTACACTAATTTGGGCCACTTGTTTAGATGATGTCTGATAGACCTCTTAGGTAAAGATTTTCTGTTTTCAGATTTTATCTTTATAGCAAATCATTAAGTCTAGATCACACTCCAGGTAAGGAGACCAAATTCTGCATCTAGATGGAGAAATATTAAAGAATTTTGGATGCATTAAAATTATTACCGTAAATAGTAAGGTAATTTAAGGCTGTGTTGATAAACCTGATAGTTCTAATATTTGTCCCTTGCCTTCAGACATGACTAGTGTTCTGATGACTTTGGGTTTTCTCATTTTTTTCATTTATTAATTAGGATTCTGTGTGAGAAAGCATTTTCTATTCCATTCCCTTCAACTTATTCATTCATTTATTTATTTGTCTAAGACTTGAATCCTGGCTGTGAATATTTTATTTTGGGTGATATTACTATTTACTGGGTCACCCATTTTTTCCTGTTTTTGCCATGAGCTCCTTTGGGGGATGCCTTTTTATTATTTCTTTGTCACTTTCTTACATTTTAATGTCACAATATGCTCTAGGGTAAATGTGCATAAATTATACTTCCATCGTCTGAGGCCTAGAATAGATCATTCCTGCAAAGAATCCAAATTTCTTATATAGCAGAGTGGCATTTAAAATCCAAAACGCGACCATCAAATGAGTGTTTGTTGTTACTGAGATGTCATTACACATAGGCCACAGGACACACACACCCATCTGCATCTTATTTCTCCATTTAAATATCTGTCTACAGAGAGATACAAATGTACATCATGTAGATAAGGATAAGGTCATAGATTCTAAACACACATATATGAATATGGATGAACTTGAGGTCACACTGACACCGCTGACGCTAACTCAGGGTCTTCCTTGCATCTCTCCTTTGCTTATTTATAATTTCCTATTCTGACCAGGGTGCTGTTTCTCATCACACACAGTTTATTTACTAGCAAATAATAATAATTGTTTGCTCCTGGTAAACACCCTGAGAGCACTTGTAGAATAGTAATCACCAAGAGTAGCCCTCCAACTAGACTTTGAGGTCTTACAGTAATCCCAGCTCTTGGGAGGCAGAGGCAGGCTGATCTCTGAGTTCGAGGCCAGCTTGGTCTACAGAGTGAGTTCCAGGACAGCCAGGGATAAACCCTGTCTTGAAAACCAACCAGCCAATCAACCAACCAACTAAGAAAAATGGTTTGTGGCAAGGCTTTGGACTTGCGTTGTTTTTGTCTCGGCAACTGGGGGTTGTACCTAGGATGTCTACCACTGAGCTAAGTTCAAGCCCTCTTAAAACTTTTATTTTACTCTGAGGCAGGGTCTGGCTCACTTGCCTACAATTGGCCTTGCATTTTCTCTGTAACCCAAACAGGATTTGGATCTGTGACCTTGAACCTCGACACACAGTGGAATCAGGCTTAAGGTGATTCTTGTCTCCGAGTCTCATGGAGCAGCAGAATTGTTTAACGACAGGAACTCTTTGTTTATCTTTTTTTTTTTTTATGTGTGATGAAGAATAAAATTCATCTTCCTGAACTCACTTGAACTTGGAGTCAGTATGATGTTTCTTCTTAGGCTGCACCTATACATATTCGAGGTTCTATGCATGTGATAAGTCTTAGTTTGTATCCCTAAAATTTAAGTGTGTCACGCCTTAGCACATACCTTACACAATGTGAGGTATTACATGCATGCTCTACCTCACCTGGAACATCGTGCTCTCTGATGTATAGAGATTCGGGTCTTTGAGGAAAGTGGGCTCAGTCCTGCAACATTCCTAGGCTTCCTGTTGTTGAATGCTAACTTCCCACAATTCTGACTAGGCAGATGTTGGGTATTTCAGTTCCATATTTAGCATTTTTAAACCATTCTTTCATATCTTAGTTTTTCAGAACTGCTTGCTATATTTTACTTTGGTTAATTTGATCTCGTCTTTAATTTGTTCAAACAGCATCTTTTGCTTCTGATGGCCTTGTCTCATGGGGGTTTATCCTACGCGTTTGGTGACCTTTGATGATGAGGTCATATATAGTTGGATTTAATTTCTGGAAAGTCCCAGGGCACAAATGGGAAACTTTCTTCCAGATAGGATGTCCGTTTGCTTCTACTTGAAGGTAGGGGTGGTTCCTGCTTTGAGGGTCCTGGACTTGATGGGGCCCCGTGTTAGTCAGGGATCTCGAGAGTAACAGAACTTGTGGAAT